AGTCACCAAATCACTCCTCAATGAGTTCAATGTCATGCGGCATGCGGCCAACCGGCGGAAGTGATGCGAAGAGATGCAAAATTTCATTAGACTTCATAGGATGAAATTTCTTGGTGGAATTTCATGGCATTTCTTGCCGAACTTTAATGGAATTTTGTGAAATTTTCTCAAGAAAATGAGATTTCATTTCGTATCTCTGCTCTGTCTCTCCAGAGGCATGAACTACGAACTTAACATATGGTTGTAACGAACAGTTTGTCCAGAAACTTCCTTCTATTGATCCACTCTGCGACGAACGGTTTATCCAAAAACTTATTGCCCCATACCCACTGAGGGCCATACATTTTCTCCAAAAACTTCCTTATCCTGACCCACTGTGCGACCGCTTTCTCCTTCGCTCGCCATTCTGAGACGGCTGAACCGCTTTTGCTCAAATTTGATATCAAAGCATTCCCGGGGGAGAACTACCGCCCATAAAAGTTTTGGCTCTAAATATTCTATGTAAGGGTGGTTTCACGATAACTGGAATAGTTTCGTCGCCATAACAGACAACACATTTTTTGGTCATATTTTTAGTAGTAATGATAATCACTCGAATTTTTTTTCATTAATCTACACAGTATTACGTTCCGTGCTATAACGCTTTTCAACGATTTATCGCTCTACTTTTCAATTTTAATATATAAATTAGAGTCCCTTTATACCCAGAGTTAAGACAACTCGATTATCAGCTGACTGGCAGCCGGCCTTGGCTGGCCATGGAGGCCGAAACGAGTGCACCCAAACGAACGATATTGAGGGATAAGGATCACGAATCCTGCGATGTCTGTCACACAAAAACAACAACATCAACAAATTGATCAATTAAAACGAAAATTAGATTGGTTTGTGAATAATTTCTTAATCTATTTTCATTTTAGACCGATGGAAATAAAAATTTACTCTTGATAAACCACAATCAGGTAATATTTTCATTATTCTTGTTCACATTCGAGGTACCGTCATCTAGAGTCCCTTTATACCCAGAGTTAAGACAACTCACTTTTGGTTGAGCTGAAAGTGGCCTAAAAAAAAATCCAATTCTGATTGGTTCTCGCTCATGGAAGCCGAAACGAGTGCACCAAGATGGCGGTACCTTGAATGTGAACAAGAATAATGAAAATATTACCTAATTGTGGTTTATCAAGAGTAAATTGTTATTGTCATCGGTCCAAAATGAAAATAGATTAAGAAATTATTCACAAACCAATCTCATTTTCTTTTTAATTGATCAATTTGTTGATGTTGTTGTTTTTGTGTGACAGACATCGCAGGATTCCTGATCCTTATCCCTCAATATCGTTCGTTTGGGTGCACTCGTTTCGGCCTCCTTGGCCAACCAAGGCCGGCTGCCAGTCAGCTGATAATCGAGTTGTCTTAAGGTGTATCTACAGCTGCGTGAAGTAAGAAATTTCTCCGCGCAGGGGGCGCCACCGTTGTGTTTTAGAGTACGTACAGCACCACGTGAGTCCTTGAGCTTTTATAAAAGTTGAAGGAATTTCTGTTTAATTCGAAGATAAATAAGTTCTAGCTATAACATTCTTCTTCCTATTGACCCTAAAAACAACGTGAAAAGTCATTTCTGAAGCTCTGCAATTTGATCCCAGAAAAAAGTAGGGTTAAGCATGATGACCTTGATGCAACCAATCGCGCTTGATCGCTCTCAGCAGTTGGCAGATATCTCTCTCCCACCGTGAGCTGTCTCTCTCGCACTTACAGATATCCCGTAAGAGAAACTGGGATCAATTTACAGCTTTTATTATTAGACTTTCAAAGCTCGCGTTTGTTTCTAAGGATTCCAGACGTATGCTGCTAGAACTTATGAGTCTTAGAATTTAAGATACCTATTGTGTTATTTAAATAATCACTGATTTCGGAGTCGGATTTTAGCAGCGCGACGTGGTGGATTTTTTCGGAACTACAGCTGAAGATTAACCTTAACTCTGGGTATAAAGGGACTCTACCGTCATCTTGGTGCACTCGTTTCGGCCTCCATGAGCGAGAACCAAACAGAATTGGATTTTTTTTTAGGCCACTTTCAGCCCAACCAAAAGTGAGTTGTCTTAACTCTGGGTATAAAGGGACTCTAATATAAATGACCGAAAATGTGCTGTCTGTTACGATGACCTCTTACCGCGTGACAGACAGCACATTTTCGGAATTTGCAGGGACGGACTGGGTGCAAAATTGTTGGTTGGGCGAAGCTAGAGCAGGGGCCCTAGGGGGGGGGTCTGAACACCCTCCAGTGCAGAGAGGGGTCCGGGGGGCCTCACCCGGTAAATTTTCTAAAAAGAGCCTCTCCCAGATCAAATTTTAGGCAGTCTCAGCTTAAAATTTGTGAAAAATTTGAGTGTTCATGCAAAAGTGATATACTTCACCTATTTACTGTAGTTTCTCTTGAAACTGAAGCACATATTAAGGAATACTATAACAAAGATGAGAGGACAGGGGCATGAAACGTAAAACTTAACAATATTTTAGGGTAAAAAAACAAACAAACAACTTTCCTCCCCTCCCCCTCCCCGACAAAATAAAATAAAAGAGAGAAAAAATCACAATTTGGACCCTTTTAAATTTCTATTTTCGCAGTTTTAGATGGCTTATCTTTTATGAGATTTAAACAATTTGCTCCATTGCTGCAGATGATCTGTTGCCTGAAATTTAGTGTCAGTATCAAAATTACCTTTTATTATACTCAGTAAAAATGAAATTAAAGTGACAAATTTTGATTCAGCGACTTTTTCTTCAATTGGATCGAGAATGGTTTATATTCATCGGGGTCCTCAAAGTTCTCAGCGGGTTAAAGAAGCTAAAAACTAGTCTCGGAATGCGGGCCCCCGAACTTATATCACTGGGGCCCCCTGAAGAAACGAGCGTTTCAAATGGGGTCCTTAAAGTCAAGGCTTAGGGGTCCCGGCGTTTTTATAACAGCCTGAACCATCACTGGCCTCCAGCCAAGTGCGGAGATCTGCACTTTTCATTCCGGGACCTGGGTGCTCTTCCAGATTTCGAGGCCCCTTCCATTCCTTGCAGTTCAAGACTGGGGCCCCAAGGCTCCTTCGAGGCGCCAATATCGCTCATTTTGAAGTCCTCGGAATTTTCTTTTCCTTTGAGTGAAATTTTTTATATTTTTAAGCCCTTGTGGGGGCCCCCAGAGAGCTGTCTGGAGAATTGATGGTTGGAGATCCCCAATTCCCCAACCGCCAACCCTGGGCAGTTCGCCCCTGAATTTACGTGATATTAATCGGGAGGTAGAGCAATAAATCATTATAAAGCGTTATAATACGAAACCCTTTGAAGATTAATGCAAAAAAATTCGAGTGATTATCATTTCTACTAAAAATGTGAAAAATGTGTTGTCCGTTACAACAACAAAAATGTTCTAGTTATCATGAAACCACCCGTACCTCGAGCTATGGAATGGACAAGATTTTACCTCCCCGCAAGGCCACCTACGAGCACTACCATTCAAAATCTATCAGTGGGTACTAAAAAAAATGAAAAAAAAAAATCAACAGAAAAATTAATGGGTAGGTACGTAAATGAATAAAAGTAAGAAGTAATGATAAAAGTAATGATAATAGTAATACCCAAAGAGACAAATGAAATGAAAAAAACAAAAATGAGGGATAAGAAATAAGAGAATTCATCCCTCCAACATAAGCTGATAAACGTTATGACTTTAATAAACAAATTTACCCATCAGCTTCTTACATTCAACTTAAAAGAGCTGCAATTCTGCCTGAGAGGAGGAAATTCTACTCTACTCCAAGTGAGCTCAACACTTGATTACGACAGCTTGTATGCTAATAGTAAGGTGCGATCTATTCCACATCTTTAGGAAAGTTATGTTGAGTCTTCTAAAACTTTTGTCGAAAGCAAACAAACAAAATAATAACTTGAACACATTTAAATAGAATAGTTACTGATGGATTGCACTTAATTTTAGACTGTGCCTATTACATTGCTTTGACAAGTGAATTTCAGGAATTTTATTATTTTCACCTCAAGTAGCTCACAAAGGCTAATCCCATTCAGTTTTACAACTTGCCATCCCTCCTTGTGTTCTTATTTAAGAAAAGATGAAAAGTCATCTCATTGCAGCTGGTATAATCAGTCATTATCAATAAGTTTTCATTCGTGTAGTTGTGAAATTGTGAATAACTGTTCCAATTAATTTTAATTACAATTTAGCAAGGAATCCATACTGGTCTATCTTCTTCACGTAGAATTACGGAAACTTTGGAATTTCTACATAGTCCAGAGAGCGGATGTAAAAATGTAGAATATCTAAGTAATCTGTCCCTTCTCCTGATGACATCATCAACTGTCTTTGAAGAACTGGTAGATTTTCACCGATATCCAATTGAAGGTATGAACATCCATGGAAATCTCATGGTATCCCCTCAGTTATTCATGGAAGTCCAATTCTGCATGGTACACTTTGAGCAGTACTTCAGCAAAAGCTTTTTTCTGATTCTGAGGGTTATGGTACCTAAGCTTTCTGTTTCTAAAGTTTTTCCGAGATATGTCCTATCTGAACAGTTAAATGCATACATGTATCGCTGAAAATCTTTGGGGACGTGTACACATTCAGAAGAGGCAAGACAAAAACTTCTGCAGTCCGAAGTTCTTCTAAACCCAAACCCTAACTTCCACTTCATTTATTTTTAGGTTGCTTCGCACTACTGGTAGGCATGGTACTTCCACACATTCCTTAATGAGTAATTTTAAGCACTATTAGAGCAGTACAAGATCAGCTATATTGGTTCAACAATGGAAGTGTTACATAAAATTCAAGATACCACATCTCTCGTTCCACTCTAGGAGAACCCAAACTAAGTAAGTTATTCTTGCATTAACGCAAAGATTGATAAAAAATGTCCTCATTCTGATTTCTGTGTAAACATTTGACATTTAAAAGAAAGTATTGGACGTGAAATAACAGCAAATATACATACCTCCATCTTTGACAACACGAGTGTCTTCTGAAGCATCAGCTTCAGCATCAGTGCCATTCTCTACACCATAGGTAGAGGTCTCAAATCTGGAATTGAAATTTAGAGAGCCCTGTGAAAGAGACGATGTGTTGTCCATTATAACCGGATTGCTTGCACTACTACGGCTCTGTTACACTTCCACTCGACCTCACTGCTGGAAATGACTGGAAGGGAAGTAGAAGAGCAGATAAAGACTTGTAGAATCTCAATTCTATGTTAAAAACACACGATACTCCGCGCTTTATCATGAACGACCGGACAAATTATTACCTAACCCGCATGCTAATGATCAAGTTGATCAGAGGGATCCCAGGTACTCAAATGCAATTAATTGCTAAAAAGACAGCAGGAGAAAGCGCGAACATGAATGAATGATATCACAATAATTACACAAGTCAAAACATCAATGAGAGGAGAGAGAGTGATGAGACAATACCATCTCCCAATACCTGGCCATGGGTTTGAGGTTAAATGTTCGTAACTCCCGAAAACACACGGGATCGTATAGGGGAGGACTTATAAAAGTTGATTTTTTACATGAGAAAGTGAATTTATTCTAGGCGTGGAATTTTCAGTTGAATATTTTGGCAAGTTTTATCGAAAGAAACAAATTTTTTCGGCAGAATCACATTTTAAATTAAGGAAAAAAGTATTAAATGCATGTCACTGTACTAAATGTATGGGAGATAACCGGGAAACGTATGCAACCCGCCAAACGTAGCCCGGCGGCTTCCCTTTGTTTATGGGAGATATTACTCACACACTCTCACACGTATTCTCCAATGGCCAGGAATTCTAAGTAGGAATTGGATGAGATGACAATGATAACCAACGGACCACAGATTAGTCCAACGGACACGTAAGAGAGGTGCTTTTTTAAGCAGGAGAGGTAAGACATCAAGAGAGAGGGGAGAACGGGAACGCGCCTTCAAGTGAATCGCTGCATTTTGTAGTACGTGTAGCACAAGTGTAGCACGAAGTTGATGGCCGAAAGGCTAGAGTCCCTTTATACTACTTAGAGTCCCTTTATAACCCAGAGTTAAGACAACTCGATTATCAGCTGACTGGCAGCCGGCCTTGGCTGGCCATGGAGGCCGAAACGAGTGCACTCAAACGAACGATATTGAGGGATAAGGATAAGGAATCCTCCGATGTCTGTCATCCAAAAACAACAACATCAACAAAAACTGATCAAAACCTTAAAATTAGATTGATTAGTGGATAATTTCTTAATATATTTTCATTTTGGTGCGATTAAAATAACAATTCACTCTTGATAAACCACAATTTAGTTATATTTTCATTACTTTTGTTCACATTCGAGGTACCGCCATCTTGGTGCACTCGTTTCGGCCTCCATGAGCGAGAACCAATCAGAATTGGATTTTTTTTTAGGCCACTTTCAGCCTAACCAAAAGTGAGTTGTCTTAAC